TGCCAACCAAGATCTGTCTAGTCAAAGCTATGGTTTTTCCAGTAGTCATGTATGGATGTGACAGTTGGACTGTAAAGAAAGTTGAGCGCCGAAGAATTGATTCTTTTCAGCTGTGATATTGGAGAAGACTCTTGAGAGTCACTTAGACTGCAAGGAGATCTAATCAGTCCATCGAAAAGGAAATCAGTCCTGAATATTCATTGGAAGGACTGATGCTGAAGTTGAAATTCCACTATTGATGTGAAGTACTGATTCATTTGAAAAGACTCTGATGCTGGGAAAAATTGAAGGCAGGAGGAGAAGGGGACAACAGAGGATGAGGTGGTTGGATGGCATCACCGACTCGATGGACAGGAGTCTGAGCAAGCTCTGGGAGTTTGTGATGGACAGAGAAGCGTGGCATGCTGCAGTCCATGGGGTGACAAAGCATCGGCATGACTGAACAACTGAACTGAACTGAACCATTCTCTTCTCCAAGGGTTCTTCCCCACCCAAAGATCAAACCTGGGTTTCCAGCACTGCAGGCAGATTCTTTACTGTTTGAGCCACCAGAAAGACCCCAAAATTAATCTATGGCTCCTTCAAAATTTTACAGATTTCTTGGTAAAATCAACACATGGATGACATATGACTATTGGAAATGTTAGATACTACAAAAGTGGGGGGTAGCATAGAAATAGCAAATGAAATACAAAGCTGGGACAACAAACTCATATGCAGGTATAAGGAAAGTGATTCCAAAAACTACTGCAGACTGGATTTCCCAGGATAGAGTTTATGAGTCAGAGAAGTACAAATTTTGTAGGCAGTACCTTCAGGATGAAAACCTGGGGAAGGGAAGGGAAGGAAGCAGAAATAGGCAGAGGTGGTAGTCAACATGTGATGCAGTCTCCATGGAAGCTTCAACTTCCAATTTCTCAGAGAGCTCTGAGACCAGACTGTGGTGACTATTTATAGTTTTCTGCAGTTGGGACAATGGTATTGACCATTTCTAGCCCCTGGACAGCCCACTGTTACATCTGTATAACCCTAGGAACAGGCATGACTTTGTGTAAAAATGCCTCTTTTTTAACCCAGGGAATCCATGAAGGGAATCACAGCTGTATTTGGTCTTCCAGCAGCAGTGTAAATATCTGAAAGAATAAGTCCTCCAGTCATATATTAGAAGCAAAATGGCAAATCACAGCACCATTGCAGAGGTGATATTTGGAGTGAAATTGCTGATCCTTGAAGGAGAAATAATATTTTGAGGGAGGATCATAATAAATTGAGGGAGGATTTGGGAAGGTATAGAAGGTGTGTTCCAATCTTTTATTTGTGAAGGTGTGGACCATTTATTTCTGGAGGCGATGAGGATCAATTGAAAAATATTGAACTAGGATTAACTATGATTAGATCTGCCTTATAGAAACATCATTCTTGTACAAGTGTAGTTTGAATAAATAAGGGGATGAAGACTGAGTAGGCAGTTGTGAGGTGGTTATACACATGTTCTATAGAAAGCACACATGTAGACTGAAACACACACACTTTATATAGATGGAGCGCTTAAAAATGTTTTTGGAAGTATAATTTAGATATAGTGAAATGCACAGATCTAAAAGAGAAGTTGATTTTGAGCAGAGGTTAACACATTACAGCTCTCTGGCCAGCCTCCTGTCTTTATTAATAAAGTTTTATTTAATCACAGCCACATCTTGTTTCTGGATCTTCTATGGCTGTTTCATGCTACAGTAGCAGAGTTTAGTAGTTATAGAAGCAGCATGGTCTGCAAAGCCTAAAATATTCAGTTTTAACCTCTTAGAGAAAAAGTTGCAGACCCTTGATCTAGGGTTTACTACTTTCAAGTAATACTGAATCATTTCAAATGTGAAACTCAGTGTGGTACATTTTTTCCTTGCCTCATATCCTTCGTGCTATTGCAATCATACATTTTACTTCTGCATTTGTTATAAACCCTCTTATTCATTGTTACTATTCTTGTTCTAAGCAATTATCTTCTAAAGAAATTTTAGAAACATTAACAAATATTTCATATTTACTGACATGTTTACCATTTTCAGCATTTGTTTCCTCATGTGATTTTAGCATGGCCAGTTTTCCCTGCAGCTGAAAAATTTCCATTTCTTATACAACATGCCTATTGATGATGAATTTTCTCAGCGTTTGTCCTAAGTATCATTATTTTGCTTCTGTGTTTGAAGGATATTTTTGCTAGATGTATAATTTTACACTGACACTTTCTTTTTCTTTTCATCACTTCCTTTCTTTGTTCACTGGCTTGCACTGCCATTGTTGAGATGTTAGTTCCCTCTGAACACTTTTAAGATTTTCCCTTTAGCATGTTTTTTGGAGCAATTATTTATGGTGTGTCTTGGTGTATTTTTCTTTGTATTTACTCTTCTTGGTCTTCAGTGAATTTCTCAGATATTTGGGCTTGTATTTTTCAACTATTATTTCCTCAAATGTATTTTTTTTTTCTGCCTCAGTCTCTACCCTTTCTGCTTTTCACATTCCATTTGCATGGTTGTTAAGACATTTAATGTCATCCTGCAGGTTACTGCACTGCTGTTCATTGTTAAGCCATATTACCCACTGTGAGCTGAGGCCTGAATGGCTTATCGGTCCCTATATTTGAGCACACTACTCTGTTCTTCTCGGTTTGGTGGTGCTGATGGTCAAGAACCTGCCAGTGCAGGAGACATAAGAGACCTGGGCTTGATCCCTGGGTTGGGAAGACCCCCTGGAGAAGGAAATGACAACTCACTCCAGTATTCTTGCCTGGAGAATCCCATGGAGGTAGGAGCCTGGTGGTGTACCGTCCATGAGGGTGCAAAGAGTTAGACAGGACTGAAGGGGCTTAGCACACACTATTTTCTTCTCAGTTTCTAATCTGCTGTTAAGCCCATTCAGTCAATGTTTTATTTCAGATATAATTTCTAGTCCAAAAGCTCCCATGTTGTTTTCCTTTGTTGTTTCTTTTCTCCATTAAGGTTTCATATTTGTTTCTTCAATATTTGTATCTTCTTGTTCAAATAACACAACTAATTTATAATCTCTCATGTAAAGTCATGGTCTGTTAATTTCATCATCTGTGTCTATTACCACTAACTGACTTTTCTCTGGTTACGAGTTATATTTTACTGCTTATCCACATATCTGATATTAAAAAAAATTTGTGCTGGACATTATGGCTTCAATGTTGTTGAGTTTCTTTCATATTTTCATGAAAGTCTCATGAAAAATAAACTTCCAGTCTTCCATAATGGAGTGTTGAATTTCATTCAACCAAGGGGTTAATTCATTTGTGGATCAGCGTGATCTTTTTTCAGACTTATTACCAACCATTTTTTCAGATGTGTTCAGAGTAGGATTAGAATTAGAATCCTTATTTTAAGATAAAATTATTCTACTCCCTTTCTGAGATCACCAATGAATGCCTAGGGTTGTTCAAGTTCTCTCAATCTTGTCCAGTCTGAAATCAAACTACTCCCAGGACTGTGCATCTTCTGGCTATTGTTCATCTCAGGTCTCACTTCGCTTTGTCTTGTCAAGTCTTGGTCTGCAAATACACAGCTTAGCATTCATCCAAAGTCTGAACTGAAGATACTCACTGGAGACCCTATGGGCATTCCCAAAGTTCTTTCTCCTCACATCTGCTCCTTCCCTGATACTCTGCCTACGAATTCTGTATTCCTCGAGAGCTTTGATTCTGCTCTGTCTTCAAGTCAGTGATGCTGCTGTGTCTGTTCAGAATTTTCTTTTATGCCGTGATCTGGAAAGTGAACCATGCAGAAAGCCAGGAAGCTGGCAGGGCTCATTTCATTTGTGTATCTTATCTCATGAATCAGAGTCCAATATGGTGTATTGTCTAATATCTTAAAAGTATAATCCTATACATTTTGTCAGGTTTGTAATTCATTGTGGTGGGAGAGGTATTCTATCATAGTTGAGAGCAGAAATAAGCCCTGTAAATATCATTATATGAATGATATATCACTGATGATTTGCAAAATGATCTTTATTAGCATAGACTTCATAAAATAAATTATTTTACTGTCAGCTTTTAAATTCCTTATTTGAAAAGTGAGGCATATGTTCTCATATACTGTGCATTGGATAATTTGTTGAATATTTTCCTATTATTTACTACCATTAGTAATCAAACTCACTCAAAAATTATATTGCTTCTTAGAACTAAGCATCATGCCATATTTTCTGTAATCTATTTATGTGCAATCATAGTTGTTTCACATACTATTATAAATTAGGAGTCTTTTTGTTCTGTGTTAGTGCTGTTTCTCTCATGGATATTTTCACATTCTTACTCTTTGCCAGTCATTTATTTTGTTTTACCAAAAGAAGCTTCACTTCATTTAGTGACTCAAATTATTTTCCTAGAAATGTGTTCACCTAGAGTCATTGGTTGTATAGCTCTAAGTGTTAGTGAACATATTGACTAATTTGCTATATATCTTAGGTCTCAGGAGTGGATGTAAGATTAGGCTTAATCTTGAGAGCTAGTAGTGTTCTTTCAACTCTGAACTTTCTAAAGTAAAACTATATTTTAGAGTTGTGTATAGTTGCATTTTGTTTCATTTATGATCTGCTTAAAGATAAATCCTTCCATGAGGAAATACTAGATTGCTACATATCTTCTCCTAGTGATTTTTAGTTGAAGAATTCATGGTAAATTGATCAAGCCCCAGCCAGTTACAGTTTGACATGTACTAATAAGATCTAATTGAGGAATTATGAAGACATTTGCTCAGGAGAAAATGAGCACATAATTACACCATAAAGAGGTCAGAGTGTCAATGTTACCCTGCTAGAAGAATATTAGTTGAAATCCCCGTGGCATCTATAAAGGACGGTTAATAATGTATCTGTGAAATATAGTCCTTCCAACGCCAATTAAAAGATGTAGAATGATCCATTGTCAATTGTAGAAGTTCAACATTAAATACCTATTTCCCTCCTCTTGTCTCTACCTTATTCAGGTGCCGGGGGATGGTCTCCATCAGACAGTGACCATTATCAGTGGCTTCAGGTTAACTTTGGCAATCGGAAGCAGATCAGTGCCATAGCAACTCAAGGAAGATACAGCAGCTCAGACTGGGTGACCCAATATCGCATGCTGTACAGTGACACTGGGAGAAACTGGAAACCCTACCATCAGGATGGGAATATCTGGGTGAGTCACTGTCAGAAAAAGACACAGAACTGAGTTTGCAGACATTTGAAAATGGTAGTGCATTCTGGTGTGTTCTTTGGCTGAGAAGTAGCTATCTGACTCCTCCCATCCCTAGTGCAGTCGGGGGAAGGGCTTGGGAGTGAAGTGGTTGGAGATTGATCTTGCTATTTTTTGTTTCCTTGTGTGTGTGTGTCCTCTGCTACTTGCTGAGAGAGAAAAGAAATGTGAGCTAAGCAAGAAAAGATGGGAAAATGAATCCAAACCCAGTATGCCCTACCCTGCCCCACCACAGCCTTTTCTTAGTGATGAAAAACCTTTATCTTGCAAAGTCAATGCAATGGGTGTCTCCTTCCCCAACCTCCGGTGTATTTCACAGACAATACGACCACCCAATAATACTATTTTGAAAGCTGAAAAAAAAAATAGGTAAATAATTCAATAATGATAGAACACTAGAATTCTTTAAGCACAATGTTTCAAGTAACTGTATTTTAGTTTGTAGCACAGATCTGCAGTGGTACAAATTATGCAAATTCTGAACTGAGAATTAAGTAAATAGAAGGAAAAAACAAAAACTCTTACTTGCCTCTGTCTACTGAAAAAGATGCACAACTTGAGAGTGCGAGTTGTTTTGTTTGGGGCAAAATGAAGCTCCAGCCTGGGACGCAGCACCTCAGATAGCTTTGAGAGACTGCTCCAAAGAGGCAGTGGGGGAATGTCAATCTATTAGATTTTGGTGAAGGGGGAATTTAATACAATTAAGCGCTCATTTTACAAAAGGTTTTCTGCTAGTCTCGAGGAGCCAATGTCCTCATGAAGGGGTTTAGAACCACTCCTTAGCTACCAACCATATGTATGAAGAGGCAAATAAGGTAGAAAAATAGTTTTAAAGAAAAAGCAAATAGAAGACCAGCCATAGCTTTGGAGTACATCAAACACCATGGTGAGCATCCCTTTCTCAATTTTAAATATTTTAAAATATTACTAGTCCTCTCTCTAAGGTGTGTGCACTTGTCTGTATTTATGTGTTAAAAACCACCAAGAAGCTGTTTATTCATACATTCTTGTTGGTTGAAGAATGTTTCTGTAGGCTGCAGTTTCTATCCAAGGCTTAGGGCAACCAGTCTCAATCTGGGCTACCCTTTTGACTTGCCTGAGAAGAATTTAAAGTATATGAATGCCAGGCCCACCCAAGCAAATTAAATTAGAATCATGTAAGTAGAATTTTATATTAATGACTCTGATATTTTTTACTTCAATTTGAGTAAAATGCTGAAATTATGAAGAAATAATTTAGAGGAGTAGGAGCAGTGATATAGGAAAGAAAATATTCATAATGGTAGTTTAAACCCCTATTACAGATCTGTGGGCATTTTATTTATTTATTTTTTATTCTGAGAAAAAAAGGTAGTTTGATCCATTTACTCTTAAAACTATATTAATTAAATAGGAAAGTTTTGTGTATTCAATCAAATATTCACAACATACAAATTAATTATATATGTTATAAAATACTAAATTTTAAGGGATATATTTTAATTTTTTTAAAAGGCAGTCATAACCGAAATCAAGTAAAGCCATCAATAAGAAACAAAAAGGAGGAGATGGGAAGAGGAGGAGGAGGAATGGGAGGAATTTGTTTTTAATTTATGTATTAGACAGAATTCTGGGGATTTTTGACCTGATCAGGGCCCACTTCCAGAAAGGTTATAGCTTAAAACTCTAAAGTAATTTTTGTGAGCAGGCAGAGTTTAGTGCTCTGAACTTGAGTAGGTGGTCATTTCCACAGCAGTTGTCCATGATCATAATTGTCATGTGAAATAAGGATATAATACTCTGATAATAAAACATACATATGCCAGAGTAGTCCTTTAGAAATAAGTTCTATTAAGCTTTGATCGCTTGACAAGAACATTTGTATATTGGGATGTGTAAATTGTAGGAAGCAAGTAGGAAGGAAAATTTCGCTTCATGGAAAGTCTTCATCTCACAATTAAGCTAAGTTTAAGTATCAGGCATAATTTATATATATAAAAAAGTGGTTTTCAACCCTGGATACACAATGGAATATCCTATAAAGCTTTAAAACATGGATGTTTGGGTCTCATTTCCAGAGATTTGGAATTGATAGTCTAAGATGAAACCTAGGCGTTGAGATTTTAAAGCTCCCCCAGTCATTCTAATGTATAGTTAGAATTGAGAACCCTATTGTGGATTGGTTTTCAGCCTGTAGGTAAGATGGGTATGAAGGTCTTTCCTATAGCTCGAATGGTAAAGAATCTGCCTGTAATGCAGGAGACCCAGGTTCGATCCCTGGGTCGAGAAGATCCTCTGGAGAGGGAATGGCAGTCCACTCCAGTATTCTTGTCTGGAGATTCCCATGGACAGAGGAGCCAGGCAGGCTACAGTCTGTGGGATCGCAAAGAGTCTGAGTGACTAACACTACTACTGCCAAATGGGCATGTAGGATGTCGATTGTGAAAAACAATGGTAAAACGGAAAATTAGAAAGGACCTTCCTTAAAGTTGAGCAGAAAGAGATACTGACTGGGTGACTAAACAAACAACAGACCAACTAACTGGGCATAGACATGTAAGGCTCAGATCACAAGCTCTTCCAGTAGAGCAATCATTATTTTCTCTTTAAAATGCAGCTATTTGAAGAGCTGCAGCCAGACTCCAAACTCTCTTTCAGATTTCTGTTTCTGTAAAATTTTCTTTCCAAAATTGAGAGACTGTTAAGTTCTCTCCTTTAATAATGGACCAGTTAAGTTTAGTTCAGTTCAGTTGCTCGGTTGTGTCTAACTCTTTGCAACTCCATGGACTGCAGACCAGGCTTCCCTGTCCATCACCAACTCCCAGAGCTTGCTCAAACTCATGTCCATTTGGTAGGTGATGCTATCCAACCATCTCATCCTCTCTTGTTCCCTTCTCCTACCACCTTCGATCTTTCCCAGGATCAGGGACTTTTCAAATGAGTCAGTTCTTCACATCAGGTGGCCAAAGTATTGGAGTTTCAGCTTCAACATCAGTCCTTCCAATGAATATTTAGGACTGATTTCCTTTAGGATTGACTGGTTGAATCTCCTTGCAGTCCAAGGGACTCTTAAAGAGTTTTCTCCAACACCACAGTTCAAAAGCATCAATTCTTAGGTGCTCAGTTTTCTTTATAGTCCAACTCTCACATTCATACATGACTACTGGAAAAACCATAGCTTTGTCTAGACAGATCTTTTTTGGCAGGGTAATGTCTCTGCTTGTTAATATGCTGTATAGGTTGGTCTTAGCTTTTCTTCCAAGGAGCAAACATCTTTTGATTTCATGGCAACGGTCACCAATTGCAGTGATTTTGGAGCCCAAGAAAATAAAGTCTGTCACTGTTTCCATTGTTTCCCCACCTATTTGCCATGAAGTGATGGTGACCAGACCGCATATTAAAAAGCAGAGACATTCCTTTGCCAACAAAGGTCCATCTAATCAAAGCTGTGGTTTTTCCAGTAGCCATGCAGGGATGTGAGAGTTGGACTATAAAGAAAGCTGAGTCCTGAAGAATTGATGATTTTGAACTGTGTGTTGGAGAAGACGCTTGAGAGTCACTTGAACTGCAAGGAGATCCAACTGGTCAATCCTAAAGGACATCAGTCCTGAATATTCATTTGAAGGACTGATGTTGAAGCTGAAACTCCAATACTTTGGCCACCTGATGCGAAGAACTGACTCGTTTGAAAAGACCCTGATGCTGAGAAAGATTGAAGAAGGGAAGAGAAGGGGATCACAGAAGCTGACAGGGTGGATGGTAGCACTGACTCAATAGACATGAGTTTGAGTAAACTCCAGGAGTTGGTGATGGACATGGAGGTCTGCAGTCCATGGGGTCACAAAGAGTCGGACATGACCGAGCAACTGAACTGAACTGAATTGATGGAATTGGATACCATTATCTTAGTTTTCTGAATGTTGAGGTTTAAGCCAGCTTTTTCACTCTCCTCTTTCACTTTCATCAAGAGGCTCTTTAGTTCTTCACTTTCTGCCATAAGGGTGGTATCATCTGCATATCTGAGGTTATTGATATTTCTCCCAGCAATCTTGTTTCCAGCTTGTGCTTCATCCATCCTGGCATTTCGCATAATGTATCCTGCATATGATTTAAATAAGCAGGGTGACAATATACAGCCTTGATGAACTCCTTTCCCAATTTGGGACTAGTCTGTTGTTTCATGTCCTGTTCTAGCTGCTACTTCCTACCTGCATACAGATTTCTCAAGAGGCAGGTCAGGTGGTCTGGTTTTCCCATCTCTTGAAGAATTTTCCACAGTTTGTTGTGATCCACACAGTCAAAGACTTTGGCATAGTCAGTAAAGCAGAAGTAGATGTTTTTCTGGAACTCTCTTGCTTTTTCGATGATCCAGAGGATGTTGGCAGTTTGATCTCTGGTTCCTCTGCCTTTTCTAAAACCAGCTTGAAAATCTGGAAGTTCATGGTTCACGTACTCTCCACTGACTTGGAGAATTTTGTGCATTACTTTGCTAGGGGATGAGATGATTGCAACTGTGAAGTAGTTTGAGCATTCTTTGGCATTGTTTTTCTTTGGGATTGGAATGAAAACTGACCTTTTCCAGCCCTGTGGTCACTGCTGAGTTTTCCAAATTTGCTGGCATATTGAGTGCAGCACTTTCACAGCGTCATCTTTCAGGATTTGAAATAACTCAACTAGAATTCCATCACTTCCACTAGCTTTGTTCATAGTGATGCTTATAATTCACTCAGACAGTTTACAAAGATGGCTGCCCTAAATATGTCTGCTCTAATGATGGCTGCTTATAAAGATGGGTGCTTATAAAGTTGGCTGCCCTCAAGATGATTGCTAAAATGCTGTGACATTAGGACTTCATTTACCAGATTATTAGCAGTAAGTGTGTGCTTAGTCACTCAGTCATGTCCGACTCTCTGTGGCCCCATGTACTGCAGCCTAACAGGCTCCTCTGTCCATGGAATTTTCTA